ACCTACCTGACCTTCCAAGGGAAAGGTTGAAAAATACAACAGGATAGTTTTTAGAAATATATTAATGGAAAGAAAAAATGAATGAGCATGAATAGGCATTGTTGCACTAATGATATTTTCTAGCATTCTGATTATTACATAACCATGACCAAACAATATTGTTTTAATATATCAATGCTAGGCAATACCCGTAATGAAGGAGGAAATACTTACCCTCTCCATTTCACACATCTCCACCAGTGATACACGGTCATCCTTCATGCCATGCAGTAAGAGTGTGGGAACGGTGATACGGCGGTGAAAGGCCACATCGCCCTCAGGCCAGTTTTGGCCCTTTGCCATGTACTCTAGAACATAACGTGGAGTTGGCGTGATGGCTAATCCAGCAAGGGTTCCAGCAGCAAAATGTTTTCCTCTTGGAGCATATAGAATCTCACGACTGAAAAACATTTGAAATCATAAATTTAAGAAAATATACTGTATTTAAATATATTTTATGTACAGTATTGTTTAATTATTAGTGAATTTTACATTAATCAAACAGCGTAAATGGAAAAAAAGCTAGGAATAATGCACTTTCTGATGACCACATTTTGTGGGTGGCTGCATTATAAAGTTCATTATTGGATAAGATGACATTGAGTATTAAACCAACTAAGTGCTATCTCAGAAAACATGGCTGCTGTTAAATTTACTCTAGAGTTAAGATTTCTCTGCTTCTGTTTGTTAACTTGTGCTAATGGCAATGGTTCTTTGCCTAAATATGAAATGTTAATTAAGTTGGGGTTTTAATATAACTTGTAATCCACTGGACATTAGTAAAATTGGTTCTGAGGTACATTTATATCGATGATATTTTAATATATACTGCAGTATATGAAAATATAATTGGGATCAGGCTTTGAAATCTTTTTATTACTGTATCTTTCAACTGTGAAACTTGGTTTGTGCTGCATAGTGGCCAATTCTTATACTGTATATACACCAGTACAATATTCCTGTCTCAGGCTTTATGCTTACATTCAGGACTTGCAATTATGCAACTGACCTTTCTTACCGATTCAGACTTTTTTTTTTTTTTACATCTAAGCTCTGCAACTATGGTCTTAATACCATAAATGATGGATATTTATGTGAAATAGCTAGATCCTAGGTAGAATGAGAGTGGCAAGGCACCTTTCTACATTACAGCCATGTTTATTTTTGTAGTTATGCAACTGTCCTTGATCTTATATTAACTACAAGTCAAACAGGATTCATTAACGAGGCTTTGAGTGAATATTAAAAGCCCATTTCTGGGTAGATCATTCAGTTACCATGATTCCCTTCCTTGCAGTCCTATATTTCCTTAACATCAGTAAGTATGTGAGGTGATTGGCAAAGGGGGAACCTAACACTGTGCTGGTGCTGCTGTTGGGTGGTGGTCAGGGAGAGCAACGGGTCTTGGCAGTCACCTGTGATGCCAAGGAAGGGCTTTCAATTCTTATGAGCTAACCTGTCAGTCATTCTGGGCTGTCATGAATATTTTTCAGTATAGTACTTTATTGCAACCTCACAGGGATTATTAGAAATGTTTCCTTTGGAGTTGATTCTCTTACCCCCCACACACAGCTGTCATTGCTAAACCTACCTGATGGGGTTGGTATCAGAGTAAATATGAACCATGTTGACCAGACCACACACTAGAAGTTGAAGGGACGACGACGTTTCGGTCCGTCCTGGACCATTCTCAAGTCGATTGAGAATGGACCAGGAATTGACCACACACTTCTAGTGTGTGGTCTGGTCAACATACTTCAGCCACGTTATTGTGACTCATCGCCTGCAAATATGAACCATACTTTATCCTTTCAAAAGCCTACAAGAACTGTTATGCAGTCAAATACGGTGGATGTAAAAACTGATATGTTTGCCTCTGATGCAGATTTTCTACGGTATCGTATATACAGTAGTACAAAACTGTTCGTGTAAACTTAATGGCCAATGTATGGTTAACTGATGTTACTGCCTGTAAAACCTGTCATGTTCAACCTAGTTCTCAATCTAATCTTACAATGTAATAAATGCACTGCTGACTGACTATTAGTTATTAACTTATGAAATAAATGTTTGAAATCAATACACCTAACTACTGATGTCTATTGAGTTCAACTTTCATTAAATGTAAATAAGGAAATGGATATAGCTTGCATATTACAATGATTGTGTTTAATACAAATATAATGGTTTTTCATAATTTGTAATTTACCTCTAATTCAGAGTTATACTAGTATTAGAGAAAAGGAGAAGAAAGTAGCTTAGCCAACTTGATTTGCTTAAATACAAAAATAATTAAAATTAGCATAAATTAAAACAAAATGTAGTGTTCATTTATCTTTCATTAGACAACGATGAATGAAACTGGATAACACCTAGTTTATGTTAAACACAACTTCTCTCCTATTTTCCAAAATGGTGCCAAATTTGCTTAAGATTTAAAATGCCTATCTAAAAATGACCCACTACACCCACAGAATTCAGTGCTTTAAACAATTCACAATCAGATCAATGTTCCACTTGATTATTGCAACAGTATGTTGGTAAATATTTATTAACCTTACCTACAGCAGCCACAGGATAAAAATGGGCCCAGGAACGTGGCAAAGCGTGAGTGCAAAAATGATTTGCTTGGAGGGTTAGGGATGAGTGGGTTGGGCCCGCCACAGCTGGCCAGGATAACCAGACGTACCGACATTGCTCGTCCTCGTGCCAATGCTGCAGCCAGGGAACACCTGTCACATATATTTTTTTATATACACTACCAGTATTTATGGAGTTTATTAATTTAGTTTTCAACAAATTACATATTACAGTATATATTAGATTAACAGTTTGCTAACGGGTGGGTTGTGACCTTCTTTGGGGGTCTTTGAGTATTAGAAAATAAGGCTGGTCCCAATAAAAAGTGGGAACCACTGCTTTAGATGGTGATGTGATCTGGTGTGATTTATTTAAATGTGATGTAATATCTGTTTTGACACAATATATACTGTTTTGAACCTATTTATTGAGATGAGGTGGACAGAGCTAGGTGCATAATAGCTCTTCCCCCCCCACTCTCTTAACATTTACAGATCAAAAACAAACTCACTTTAATACTACTGTATTTGCCTGAAATCTCCACTACATACAGGATACCGAGGGTAATGGACAAAGGCAGCTTATTGAGTGAAAATAGAAATAAGTCAAAGAATGTTGGGAAATGCTGTAATCATACCCTGTATGGGTGTGGGGCCTGACGGGTGAGTGGACAGTGCTCAAGATTTGTAGTCCTAAGGTTCCGGGTTCGATCCCTGGCAGAGGCGGAAACAAATGGGCAGTTTCTTTCACCCTGATGCCCCCTGTTCTCCTAGCAGTAAATTAGGTACCTGGGAGTTAGACAGCTGCTATGGGCTGCTTCCTGGGGAGGTGTAACAAAAAGGAGGACTGGTCGAGGACCGGGCCGTAGGGACGCTAAGCCCCGAAATCATCTCAAGATAACCTCAAGATGAGTTGTCAACAAATGGAAAGTACTGAAGGAGGGATGGAAGTTACCTAGAGTAGGTGTAAAACCCATAACCCATAAAGGCCAGACAAGGTAAGAAGCTAGTAGGGAGTAAGCAGATATTAATTTAATGACATAATTGCTGATAGATCAAGATGGTTGACAGAATGCTCACCCTATGACAACCAACAAATAATCCAGCAATAACCTCAGGCTTTAAACCTTTTGCATCATTGGCTATATTATTGAGGACACCTAAATTTCTACATATCCTGCATTTCATACTCCCTGCTCACAGATAGTATATTTAAGTAGCTAATGTCAGACAAACTTGAAGATCCAAATTTTATGGAAGGATTCTATTTGGGTCATATGACCATTATGAGTGGGAAAACAAACTAATATTGCAATCAGTGTACAGAAGCATTTCATATCCTTGCTTCTACCTTGTTTTTGCTGAAACCTATTAACTGGCAACATAATTAACTTGTACATAAATATTATGATGTGAACATTTTAATGAGAAAATCAACTTACCCATAACCATGGCCAACAATAACACACTTGCGCCCTTGTGGCACAAATAAATCAAACACTAATGTTATGTGGTCAAGCATTTGTGAGAAGGTGTATTGGGAAGGATCCTTTGGGGCCGAACTAAGCCCATGACCCATCAGGTCTGGGGCTACAACCTGAGGGAAGTAAATATCAATCATAACAAAACTTGCAAAAACTACAGACCACGTGTATCGATATTTTAATGTTTTAATTCCTAATAAAACACCATTGCCATATACTGTAGTATATAGTAGTACAGTACTGTTCAATAAAACAAATATGCAATAAAATGTACTGTTCATTAAAACAAATATGCAATAAAACGAGTGCCCAGTATACATTTGATTGATTCACCCCCTTATAAGATAAAATAATGTGTGCCAAAATTGCATTTGTAATCCATGACAACCAAATTCGAATGGAAAACAAACAAACATGCCAAATTGTTCAAAATGCAATCTTGAATGCTTTATTCGGGTAACTACGATGTTTGTGCAAAATGTATTCATGTGCCTTGCTACATTATCCTTAAAAATATTAATTGTGATATTCTATTAAATAAATGTGAGGATAAGGTTGGGTTTCAAGCTGTTCCTTAAAATAATTTAACAAATAACTTAAAATAATAAAATAACTATAATACCTTTACAACATATTGGTATTATAACAAGTGCCATATTATGACATTGCTAGTCTTATCACCTGCAATTTTGTAAACTGTACAAGATCTGTTATTATTAGTTTAAATAGTTATTTTAGTCTTACCTCATAACCACAGCTAACAAAATACCAGAGTTGCTGCCGCCAGTGGTCACTACTGCCGCCCATGCCATGAAGAAATAGCAGGAGTGGCTTTTGCTGAAACAAATTAATGATATAGATAAGAATCATACTGTAATTAACTATGAACAGCAAGAATTACCATTATTTACTTTATAATTGACAGTGCTATTCTGTTTTTATCATACCCAATGATAGAGATTTAAATAAAACTTTGGGATTAAGAATGGACAGAAGTGATGGAGAAACAGGTGATTTTTAAGCATGATAAACAATATTAAGCTTTTGGGGAGTATCAATCACAGTAAAAGAAGTAATTATCAAAAAAAGAAAGTCGAGGAAACTGCGAGATTTAAAAGGGCTTCAAGAGCTACAGCTTTTATTGGCCCAACCTAGATTTTCCCAAAAGAAGTAAGCTCAGAACAAAGTCAAGCAGAAAAGAGCTCAAGGAGAGTGCAGCACAACCAGCCAAGCAAAAGCAATGCATAAAGTTCACCGCAATCAAAGCTAAAGACATGGTACAAACCTGTACAAAGAGCTGTCAAACCCCCCCCAACCTCACTGTTTTAAACATGGAAAGTACAGTAGTAGTAGTACAGCATATCCAACACAGATTAATTACAGGAAAATAAAAATCACTCACTTTCACTTTGCATTCTGCATTGTTCTGACAGAATTCGGTATCTTCATTGGGGTTCGACTTCTGCCACCAAAATACTAGTTGTCGAGCCTCTTGCATGTGGTCATATGGAGGGTAGTCTTCATCTATGTCATCAACTGGTGGGCGCTGCAAGCTAGCCGAGGTAGTATCAGTGGAGGGAACATAAGGGGAGAGTGAAGGGCTGGCTGTAGATGGTGTGGCGGGGCAGCTGGATGATGGAGTGTCACTCGCATCAGATATGTAGGCTTCAGCACCTGAGGATAAATTTTTATTATTTTAACAGTATATGAAGAGTTTCCTATATCATTATCATTCTTTTTATCTTATTTTACTAGAGATAAATATGATGAGTCTAGAAAGATTTTTTTACATATAACAAGATACCTGGTTGATAGGGTTCTGGGAGTACTTCTACTCCCCAAGCCTGGCCCGAGGCCAGGCTCGACTTGTGAGAGTTTGGTCCACCAGGCTGTTGCTTGGAGCGGCCTGCAGGCCCACATATCCACTATAGCCCGGTTGGTCCGGCACTCCTTGGAGGAAACAATCTAGTTTCCTCTTGAAGATGTCCACGGTTGTTCCGGCAATATTTCTTATGCTCGCTGGGAGGGTGTTGAACAACCGCGGACCTCTGATGTCTATACAGTGTTCTCTGATTGTGCCTATGGCACCCCTGCTCTTCACTGGTTCTATTCTGCATTTTCTTCCATATCTACGTCACATCCATGTACGGCACATTAATTCCCAATTATTTCACTAAATAAACTATATATGATAATAGTGTATCTATTAATTATAATATCTAAACCACTAGAGCTCAATGTCTTTACCTAAATATCTACTATGCCTACTACTATGTCCACTGTGCCCCTGTCAGTTCTTTACATAATAAATCTATACATATCTCATCATCCACTACACATATTGGAGGAATATTATACCTTTCAAGACATTACTTATGTTTAAGATTCAGCCAGAAAAAAATTATGAACAATGGAGGAACCTTTGATAAGCCACTGGCTTTCTGTCCCCATCGGAGCCACTAGAAGGAAGGAATTATCAGGACAAAGCACCAAGCCATTACGACTATATAGCACTGGGAAGGAGTCAGGATTAGGATTTGGGATGGGACGGGGGAGGGGTGGGGGGTAGAAGGAATGGTGCCCAACCACTTGCACAGTCGGGATTATTAGTTTTGCTGGTTAGTGTTGTAGAGTAAATCTTGGCCAGTTCATGAGTTAGACCAAGACATTATTTTCATATTCATACTTCTTGTTGATAGCACTGAGTATGCCTTTTGTTAACCATGAATTATTGTCTTCTGGTTGAGATTTACTTGGTGAGTAGTGGGCAGTGAATTTTATAGATTTAAGCTTTGATGTAAAAGATGTTGGTACCTGTATTGAATGAAGTCTTTGTTGTTACTGAAATCTGAATGCCGGTTTGTTTTGAAAGTTTTTATGAAGTCATTTGGTGATTTCAGTGTGGTCTGTAAATAAATTTGCTGTCACCCAGCAGCATTTTATTGATATTAATTTTAGGGAAGGTAGGACAATTGTCAAAAGAAGGCACCAAGCCAAGAAGGCTATGTACCACCGTCAAAAGTGCGGGATATTCAAGAGGCGCTAATTATCACTAAGGATGCCAGTACGAGAACAAGAGCGCATAAGGCGAACAACATCAAAGGCATCCGATTCACCAAGGATATTATCGAGGGACAGGTAACTGCGAGGGACAATCAGGAAGCAAGATGCACTCACATTCTGGAAGTCAGGACTTTCAACAAGGATATGCACAGAAGGTAGGACAGTTGTTGGTTGTTAGCAGAGTTAGCCACACCTGAGACATCAGATACATTATCTACTTTAGCTATGTACCCGATTCTCCATTGTCACGGATAGTAATCATGTTAGGCTTATCCAGGTCCCAGTCCAGCTACTAGTCTTCCCCAGGATGCAAACCACAACAGTTGCCTAACTCTAAGGTATCCACTTACTGTTAGGTGAAGAGAGGCATAAGGTGAAATGAAATGTGGCAAAACATCTCCGTCCTGTGTGGAAAATGAACCCAGAACCTTTCTGTTTTCTGAGTACAACAGCTCATCTATTGTGTCGTTTTTTTAGCAAATTGTTTAAAATTAAGTTAATGACTGTATATACAGTAATCATTAAACTAATTTAGAGAAGATTTTAAATGTGTTGTCTGTTCTGAATGTGGTAAAAGATGCATTTTATGATTTTTCAGCATTAATACAAAATAGCCCATCCTGTATATAACAAAATTTGTATTTATGTTCGTAGGTGCACCACTGCATTTCTATACTAGACAAATATGACTTTACAATCACATTATCAGTCTTGTTTTATATGTTTTGATATCGGTCTTAGCCCAGGAACTGGAATGTTAGGTTATTCAGTATCATATTACACAATCTGCAAATTATTTTACATCAAGGTTAACAATTATCGGATACTACTTGAGAAATTGAGACAAAGGGGTGAAGGAATGGTGCCCAATCATCTCACCTTACCCTCGGTGTCAATCATATTATTTCCAATACAGTACAATATTATTATTATTATTTTTCATAATAAACAGTAACACAATACTCACCTCCCTGTGAGAGTTCTTGAGTTTTTGCTTGAGGAACTTCGAGTGACAGTGCTACATCTTGACCTTGGGGTACATGACCTATGGAGATAGCATGAATACTTGCAATGTTCATTTGGATATTGTACTTCCCAATGTCAATATCACTACCAGCTGATCCTCTTCTACTTACATGAGCAGGAGAATTAATTTCCATATCAGATGCTTTGGTACTCATCACTTCATTTAAGTTGGTGAAATCTGAACTTTCTTCGTGTCCATCAAAACCGAGATTAACTACTCCATCCTTAGCATCATAATGGTAATTTACACAAAGTTCTTTTGGAGTTAAAGGAGCAGAGGATGTTGAAGGTTTATATTCACACATCTGAGTCATTGATGGCCCTCCAACTTCATACCTGGGTACAACATCAGGAAGCAGCATTGGAGGGCCTATCAACTCTCCTGAAAATGTATCATCTTCCGGTGTGGAAGGTAGAGCACAAGCCCCCTCTACAAGAAGCTTTGATGCATCAGAGTAATGCATCTGTGCAACATCCTTATCATGGTTGATGATAATACCTCCTTTATAAGTCAAAGACATTTTAGAGAGTTTTAGTGTTGGAAGCGAATGACTTTCGTGTAAAGCAATCCGTGAGGATTCCTGTTTGCTAGACTCTCCTCTTAGGGATCCGCTGTTACTCGAGTCTAAGTGGGAATCCCCAAAGCTACTATTATGTGCCTCTACAGTGGGGCGTGAATGTCTTGACTCATTTCTAAGACTGTTTTGTTGAGAACCATTCTTAGAATTACTGCCACCAAAATCTCCCTTGCCTAAGTCAAAGCGGAGAAAATCTGGTCTGAGAGAATTGGAAGCTTGTCTGTGTATAGCCATTAGGGAGCTGCTGAGTGAAAATTTGGAGCTAACTGAACGAGACTGAGGCTTTGGGCTCCCAGTATTGGACTTTGGGCTGTGGTTTCTTCCTGACAATTTTGGGCTACATGGACATGATCTAGACTGTCTTGGGCTAAGAAGTGGTGGAGCTAATCGCATACTAGCATCATGGGAACTGGTGCTGTCATTAACATTCATGCTTACACCATCAACAACATCTTGAGTAACAGCTTCTTCAGCAAATAATGTGAAACTAGTCCGTAATTCGTTGTCCAGTACACGATAAGCTCGGGCCAACTGTTCATCACTAGCACTGTACCTGTAAAGAAAAAATTATTATTATATAAAAAAATATTATTAATAAAAATTGATTACATATATATATAATACTAAACACATAAAAGAAATGCTGATCTATTAAATGTGGTGCGCACGCACGAACATGCATACACACACAAACGGGTACACATGTGCACACCCACACATACAGACACACAATTAATTGCCATGAATTCCAAGTTTACATTCTATTTGCCATACCGCACATTGTAAGATCTGTCAAAATAAATTAAAAATAATTGATAAAATATTTCACAATAAATGCAACATACACCATGAACAAGAGCCTCACTATCAACCCTTTGCAGGTGACTGATGTACTAGTCTTCTATATGGAAGCACTATTACAAGATATATAATGTAATAGTACAACCTAACCATTCCCCCACACCACAATTCATAACCATATTTTAGAAATAACAACCAAATACAACAAAAGTAGAGTATATTATATTCCTGCTGCTATCCTTTATGTGAAGAACACAACAAAACAATCAAATGAATGTCAGTATTTTATGGTGAAATATTTATTGCATACAGGATGTCAGAGAGTTGTTTTTGTATGGTAATAAATACTTTTGTATACAATCAAAAGACAAAACATTATTTTGTGCATTATTTCTTAAGTTGGAAAGTGATACATATGCTCCCCTCCCAATGTTCTTTGTGTGTTCCTCTGGAACACACTTGAGAAGTATTATAGCTCCTTAACCATCTTGTTTATCTAGTCGAGGCCTTTAAAATATCCATGCCTAGTGAAATTTCCAGGATCCCTCAGACCCATGGCAAATTAACAATAGATCAATTATTGTAACTTGAGAGAAGCATAACAAAAATCCAGTTTCTTGAAATGACATGGTCAATAAAAAAATAGAAGCATCCATCTAACCTGGAGAGAGCTTCCTCACTGGTAGCTGGCTTTATACACTCATCATCTGAGCTAACCGCTGCTACCTCCTCTGTCTTAGGGCTTCTTGACTCAAGCTTAACAGATGGTACATGGGCGAGTACATTTTCGCCATCAAAACAAGGCACCTCCTGCAGTTCGTCACGGTGACCCACTGGTCCCACAATCTATATTGTAAAGTAACATTATAAGATGTTGGATGAATACGTTGTATATTATTATTATTACAGTGAAATCTTGATTCAACGAACCTCGATTTGGCAAATCTCTGGTTTGAACACGCACATTTTCCATGTCAAATTTACTCACCTGATTTGATAAAGAAGAGTTCACTGAAGCAGGGGATATGTGGATTTGCTTGGGATGTTGGGACCGAGTTCATAGGTGAAGGAAACATTATAAGAAATAGTTGAGCCTTGGGAAAGCCACTGAGTATATTTAAAACTAAATTCCATGTTTTTCCCTAGTTGCACAAATTTTCGTTCAGTAAGATAACAATCCTTTGAAAATGAGATATCGAGGCTTGGGCATGGGGGAATATGCTAAATGTGGTAAAGTCTTTTACAGACAGGATCTCTTGGTTGTTGCCCTTCATATGATTGGTTGAAATTATAATTTTGCTTAGTGAAATCAGCCCAGTGTGGGGGAAAATATTAGCTATGAATGGTATCTTTATTAATATGGCTCCAATCACAGTTTTGATTATTTTTGTCAGCCAGTCCTTATAAACAAAGGTCAAAGTCCATTCCATGTACAATACCCGCCAAACCCTTGTCGGGTATGTACATACCATGTAGAGTCACTTCAATCAGCCTGTCCTCCAAACAAAGACCCAAAGTCCATTCTATACACTCTTCAAACCCCCTGTTTATGAATGAAAAATGGTTTGCACATGACTCAACTGATGAAACGCTTCTCGAACAAGTGCTTCGCTGACGACTTTTGTTCGAACCACAATGCTGTAAATGCTTCACCTACAAACTACAAATACAAATAATCGGCAACAGAATATAAACACCTAACATAACCAATGCCTAAATATGCACAGTATACTAATATATAACAATGTTAATTTATATTTCGAGAAAATTCCTGTTTTGAATGAACAGCATAATAAAATTTACAAATGCGTCATTTGGGTCAACTGCTGGATGGAATGGACTTAGTCTGAGGACAGGTTGGTTTTTGTAGATGTGCAGAGATCCTTTACTGCTAGAATCCACTCAGTAAAACATCTAAACTATTGGGACCGACTAAAGAGCCTAAAACTGTACTCCCTTGAGTGCAGGCGGGAGAGGTACATAATAATTTACACGTGGAAAATATTAGAGGGGCTGGTCCCAAACCTGCACACAGAAATAACATCACATGAGACCAGAAGACATGGCAGGATGTGCAAAATACCCCCGTTGAAAAACAGAGGTGCAACTGGTACTCTGAGAGAGAACTCTATCAACATCAGAGGTCCGAGACTGTTCAACACGCTTCCACTACACATAAGGGGCATAACTGGCCGACCCCTCACAGTGTTCAAGAGAGAGAACTGGATAAGCACCTCCAAAGGATACTGATCAACCAGGCTGTGACTCATACGTCAGGCTGCGAGCAGCTGCGTCCAACAGCCTGGTTGATCAGTCCGGCAACCAGGAGGCCTGGTCGACGACCGGGCCGCGGGGACGCTAAGCCCCGGAAGGACATTACAAGAAATAGTTGGAACCTTGGGAAACATACCGAGGAAATTTAAAACCAAATTTTATGGTTTGTTTTTATTCTGAGTAGGCAAGGTATGTTTACCTTGGTTGAACCATGTTGTTCACTCAGATATGACCCTGCTACCTTTTGAAAGTGAGTTTTGAGGCTGGGAATGTGAGAAATACTGTACACTAGATGTGGTTAATTTTTTTTGCATGCATGTTCATTTGGTAATCTATTATATTATAGGTTGAAATGAAAATTTTGATAAGTGAAATCAGCCCATAGGGTATGGGAAATGCATCCTGGAAGCATCTTCGGTTGCAATGAATCCCTCACTGCAGTGAATTAGGGTTGGTCCCAAATAGTTCGTTGAATCAGGATGTACTATATATAATATTTTGTAGATTATTATTATAATTTTTGTAGATTATTATAATATTTTGTTAGAAGCATCAGAGGCTAGATTACATCTTATGGTAGACTGAATCTGGCTCATGTACCAGATACAGTCCCTCCCATTTCTAAGATATAGAAGCAAGCAAAGAAACAAACACGATTAATTAAGATATGATATCTTTGCTTGCTAACCTTCTTGTTACAGACAGAGCAACGGAACTTCCTCTTTGACTTCCTCAAGCTCCGCCTTGATCTTCTGAAGTTGACAGTGTTTTGGTTGGAGTCTGCCGTGATGTAAGGACCTTGCCAGTGGTTGAACCAGTAGTCTTCTAATGAGGCCAAGGATATCTGTTGAGTTAAATTTGTTTTGGCATTCATTAAGTCATCTGATACAGTCCTTTCATTAATCCTCTAACTTGAAATCTCTTAAGTTGCCACCGGGAGGAATATAAAAGAAAGAACAACTGCAAGGAGAAGATTGGGAGGGACATAGGTACTTACCTATTAGTGTATATGGGGGAGTGAGGTCTAGCTCTTTACAAGTATGAACCAAGATCAGCAAAGGAGGAAATAAGGAACACCAGAGAAACCATCCTGTGCCCAAAATGAGAAAACCAAGTCCCAAGCATCTGGAAATCAAACAGTAGAGGGATCTTTTTTTCATGGCAGGCATCATTTGTGGACATGTTAAAAAAAATAATAATAATAGTCAGGTGCCAGGACATCAGTCCAGGAAGTGCCTGTAGGCAGCCACTAGATTGAAAGAAGAAAACAACACCTGTCAGATATGGGAAAGATAAAAGAATCAAACCTAAAAGAATGGTTTTAAGGAACCAGAAGGAGCCAATAAAGATGAATGGATAGTGATGAACAGAACTGAAGTGATAGATATTGATACCGTAGTAGCAAATGACGGGGGGGCAATAAATAAAGTTTTTCAGGAATGGAATAATATATCGAAGGTTTTCAAGCAAGACTGACACACGATGGAAAGAAATCCGTTGGTAAAGGACGAGGTTGCAAATAAAACTACAAAAGAAACAATCTTAGGAAAGAAACGCAAATTTCAAAATGTACCGAGCATGACTAA